TGAACTCAACAGTTTCTTTACCCCAAATGTGATAAATCATAGAGACAATAGACAGGTCAAAAAATTCAGACACAAAATGCACCTCAATCCATGGCTTGCCTATCAAAATTAGGTGATTAAAATCAATTTCACATAAGATGTATAAAACCCTACGATCTTCCCACTATCTAAAACCAATTATTGATTCAAAGGAACCTCTAAAATATCCATATCTTGTGACTGTATTAATTTTCTAAATACCAAAAAACAGAAGGCAGGAATCCAAAACAATCACCAAGGCTGACAAAATCCTTACTTCTAAGGACATTAATCAAAGAACCTACAACGACTAACGGTGTCAGAGAGAGAGCAAAGGTTAAGACTTGGAAGAGAGAGGGTAGTTTCTCCAGAATTATTTTTCAAACAGAAGTAATTACAATATTCATTCATATTAAGCCCTTGTTTGGATAGAAAGTAGTAAAGGGAAGAGAAAGGAGGGGAATGGAGGAAAATAAAAGGACATAGAGGGGGAGAAAAAGAAAGGGAAGTGAAGAAAATAGAAGGAAGTGATTTGCGTTAATTTTGTTTGGATAAATAAAAAAAAAAGATTATATTATTTTATATTTAGATAATTAAGGTAAAAAAAAGAATTTAAATTAATTTTAAATTTATAAATTTTTCTTTTAAATTTATAAATTTTTTTTTTAAATTTGTAATAAAAAATGATATAATAAAAAAATTAAAATTAATTTTATAATTATATTTAATTTAATTTAAACAATCATTTAAATTTCTCTCAAACTCCCAAATCAGACGTACTGCAAATTTATAGAGTTTGAAGGTGATTGAAGAAAGTACAAATCATTACATCTCCCTCCCTCTCTCTCTGCCTTTTTTAAAATCCAAACAGAAAGAAAAAAAAAAGAGAAAGCTCCCTCGCTCTCCCTCCCTTACTATCCGTCCCCATTCCTTCTCCTCTCTCTCAATCCGATACCTCCAATCCAAACAATACCAACAGAACACCCAATTTTCAAGAAATAAAACCCATAAAAAAATCAAAGAAAAACTCACCAGAAACCCCATAGCCGGCATAGGCAGTAGTAACACTAACGAAAACCGGAAGAAGACCATGGCGGAGGCGTAGTCGGCGAGACAACGGAGAAATTGGATTGCGACTTGCGAGGAGAAGCAGTCACTTCTTTCTTTTGACAAAATGGCTTCTTAAACTAGAAAAGCGTCCGATTAATACTGCTATTCTTGTACTCCATTGTTGCTACCTTCGAATC